TGTTTTATTAACCTCAATGATTGCTTTGCTGGTTTACCTGACAAACCAAGTGATGATGCTTTTTGCTCATTGCTCATCTAACGTTGTTGCTATTCTGTGCAGGTGATGTCAAACAGGAGCCAGGCATGTACCGCGAGGGACCCACGTATCAACGGCGAGGCTCACTTCAGCTGTGGCAGTTCTTGGTAGCTCTTCTTGATGACCCATCAAACTCTCACTTCATAGCGTGGACTGGCCGAGGCATGGAATTCAAGCTGATTGAGCCAGAGGAGGTGGGTTAGACGGACAGCATGCCCTGACATCCACTGCCCCATCCTGCAAATTTAACAGTGCTCCTTTGGATTTAGGTCTTGTTTTCCTTCAATATTTTGCTCCGGTAGCACTTCAGAAGGGTGACGGGAAGGACTGGCAAGGAAAGTGCTTCAGTTAGGACAGAGGTGTGGTTAAGCGTATACTTGATTCCTAGTCCCACAAAGTAATAAAAATATTGCAAGTACTAGAGTTGCAAAATACTCGGCATTAACTGTGGGGCCCGGATTTTTCAGAACCACTTCATGGATAGAGCTGTGTTCCAAAATCCTTTGAAAACTTGTCCCTGAATAGTCTTTCAACACCAAATACTCAGTGTGAAGATGTGGGAACTTGGAACTTCTAGGCTGTAGAGTGAAAGACCCCATGTCTAACAGATGGCAAAAGAGGAGGTTAAGAATGTTAGGCAGTAAAATCCCATCAAAACTTATATAAACCCCTCTCTTTTTAGAGTTGTCTTCAGAGTCTTCCTGCTTATATGTATCATTAGATTGTTTAGTGCACGCTTAGGTCCTAGCCTTGCAAACATTCATGCACGTGCACAGCTCCCCTGAACCGTGAAGGACTTGTGGGGTAGATGAAATTACTTGCATTCATGAACATTTGCTGAAGCGTGACTTAGTTCACTTGTGTGATAAACAGGAATAAATTGAACATTTTATTACATAAACTTTTTTAGACTAGGTAACGTTAAATAATCTATCCTGTGTTCTAAACAGCCATGGAAACCGCTAGAAAATCTGTTGTGCCTGAATTTTATTGTAATACTGATGTGGATGATTTGATTAGGGTTGTCAAAAAGCAGTATCATCCTGGTTTACTTTTTTGCCCCTTGGACAGGGTTGGGTAATAGAGGAGACCGCAGCAAATTTTCCATCAGGATCCCCTCTGAGTTAGAGCTGAGTAGGAAGGTTCGGGGGTGTAAGGCTGCTTCTGCGTTCCACCAGCTATTTCTGCTGTTTGCCATCCATCTGCTGGCATAAGCAATCTGAAGGCTTTCTTGCATTTAAGTTATATCGTCTGCCAACAGCCCTAAGGGGATGATAGAGTAGCTGGGGATGGAGACAGGACTGATGTCCCTTTCCTTCCTGACACGGTCTGGCTGAGGGGCAGGTTGCTGCAGGGACCTGTGTGCTGGCTTGGGTTTGTCTGAGCTTCCCTCACACTAGTGATAGTCACCATGGCAGATCTTGGTGTTGCGCATCTGAGGATTTGACCGCAGAACAGTCTCAGTTGATTTGATACCAAGACTTTGCTGGCAAGTCTGCGGCCTTAGCAGGCTACATGGACTTCTTAGTTGTGTGGCCTCGATCAGAACAGAGTGAAATCTTTGGAAAGGCTTTTGCTTGATTTTGGTGAATGAGATACCTGACTTTTTTCCCCCTGCCCCAGTGTCAGTATTTTTACCCTTTTAGTTTTGTCTTGTCCTTAAGGTATGTCCAAAGTTTTTCAAGATTGAAGAGATTTATTGAAAAATAGTTTCCAGCAGATGGTGCAAAAACTTTATAGATTTTATTAGCTAAGGAAGGGAAAGTAGCAAAACAAAACCCTAAGGTTTCCTTATTGTGTAATTCCCTGAAGAATTGGATATTCTGATTTAAGTTAACCGGGTCATCTGCTTATCTGACTTTGTAGCAGTTGCTTTGTGGTTTTGAGCAGCACTGCCTCCAAGATCTGGAGGAGGCAGGCTACTTGAAACTTGCTCACTCCTATGTGCTCTTAGGGAGTACAAAGGAGCCTAAGTTGTTTTCATATGAATGTCACGGATCTGACAGAAACTGTCGATTAAAATAAGAATAGCCTGTGGGAAGTTGCACACTTCTGGTGCTTGCCAAGTGTAAATTGAAGGGAAGTCAAAGAGCTTGTTGGTTCAGCTGTGGCAGGTTAGGATGTCAATGACATAACCTTTCCATTCCATCCCTTTCTGGAGGTTTATGCCCTTGTAGAATGGGTGACAACGAAACTGAATATGTATGAGCTCCTTGAGCACCATAGTTCATTTAGAAAGTAGAAAACTGTGAACTGTGGAGGCTAAGGATTGAGCGTAGGTCCATTTATGCCGCCTTGTCACAGGGACAGTAACCTTCAG